TGTAGATTAGTTGGTTTGTGGGTTGGTCTTTTAGTTGGTTAGTGGGTTTATTGGTTGGTTTGTAGGTTGGTTAGTTGGTTTGTAGGTTGGTTAGTTGGTTTATTGATTGGTTTGTATGTTGGTTTATTGATTGGTTTGTATGTTGGTTTATTGATTGGTTTGTATGTTGGTTTATTGATTGGTTTGTATGTGGGTTTATTGGTTGATTTGTTGGTTGGTTTGCTAGTTGGTTTGTTGGTTGGTTGATTGGTTGTCAACTCTAATTGAAAAACATAACATTTCTGAATAGATTTAATGTTTTTAATCATGACTCAGCAAAATGTATTATAAAACTAATTTTCACAACTTCAGGGTTCAAACAGAGGAAATAAAGATGAAGTCATTTCTTCTAAACAACCTGACTTACTGTCAGCTGGATGATCACTGACATATTTCTGACAGAAAGAGTGAATCCTCTCTGCAACAAGCAGCAGGACCTGAGAACTGAAGAGATGATGATCCTAATAATATCTTTAACGTTTAATGACTCGGCAGTTTCTGCTCCTAAAGATAAAGATTTAATTTGTTTTTCATCTGTGTAAGGGTCCAGATGGCTCTGATCAGAAAACAAGAAGATCATCCAAACATCATCATCCTCATCATCACCATCATCATCATCATCTGGGCTCATTCTAAAGAACAAAGCTTCAGAACCAGAAACAGTTCAACTAACGAGTTGTTAACAGCAGCTTTATGAGCTTCAGCTGAAGAAACACTGACGAGATTAATCAGCTCCTGAAGTCGTTCAGAACCAATCAGCCAGGAGACGTTTTACTGCAGAACCAGTCTTTATGTTCCGTTTGGGTCTTATGCTTCATCATGTTCCAAGTCCAGAATGTGACCCGATGGAGCTGGCGCCGATGATTTGTAGAGCAAAATGAGGATGAGTGCAGCTGTAAAGTGCTGTTTTCTTCTCTGTCTCAGCTAAATCATAGAAAACATCCTGACCTCCTGCCAGATCCCTGCTCTGCTCCTCCTCCTCCTCCTGATTGTCTTGTTTACAGCCCAGTACCAAACAACACCAAGGCCTCATAACACACTACATTCATTCATTCATTCATTCATTCATTCATTCATTCATCCATCCATCCATCCATCCATCCATCCATCCATTCATTCATTCAT